TCGAAAGCAGTCATGATTCATCATTAACCTTGTGACTTATGACTTTCATATTATATTTGAGGGAAAAATTAGTTTTCCTCTGTGAAGCAAATGATTTTTTGGTCTAAGGACTTTTAATCAGAGATGAATTTGTCTTAGTGTCCTATATCAACTAGGAGGGAACTTTTGATTTCATTCAAACCCATTGTACTGTTTTTCTCTGTCAGTAGTAAAAATCAAACAGATGCAATTTGGGGACCCAAGTAAGCTATAAGGATTATACCCCTTGCCTGTCTAACTCAGACAGCCTATGTTCCCCATAATGATGTTTCTGCTGTTATGATAAAGCCTATGACCAAAAGCAAAAGAGGGGAAAGGGTGTGTTTCAGTTTACATTGAGTCCACAGCTGAGGGAAGTCAGAGCAGGAACCTAGAGGAGAGCTGCTTACTGGCCTGCTCCCCATGGCTTGCTCAGCCTGCTTTGTTATATATAGCACCAAGACCCCCAGGCCAGGGGTGGCACTGCCCACAGTGAGCTTGGCCCTTCCACATCTGTCATCAATCAGGAAAATCACTACAGGCTTGCCCACAGGCCAGTCTGTTGGGGGCATGTTCTCAATTGAGATTGCCTCTTCCCAAATTACTCTAGTTTATATCACATTGGATAAAACTACCCAACACAATGTTTATAGCATTTGTTGAGAACTCATTGTATGCTGAGTATAATGTCACTCTATCCCCACTGGAAATATGCAGTACTATTAATATCCCAACTTACACAAAACTGAGACTCAGCAATGAATTTTCCCAAGTCTCTCAGCTTCTGCTAGATAGAAATGGGATGTGGAGCCATTTCCACACTGTCTAAAATGTCTTATCGCCTACCTCTACAAAGCCTTTGGTTATAGCTGTATTGATACTTATAAATTACAAAAAAATATATAGCTTATAGTTCATGATTTATCACATTAGTATCCTAAATAGAAATAACCGCCATTTACTGAACAACTGCCATGTGCATTGTGCTATGCATATCACCACATCCAACTTGACACCTCCCCCCCCAGCCCTATGGCAGATACATTGTGATGAAACCAAGGTTGAAAGAGGCAACCATTCAGGCAGCCATACCCATCTACAAGGATGCTGGAATTTGAAATTTGGAAATCAGGTATTTTTGGCCCTTCTGGAGGAGCAACGCTCAGTTAACTCCTTGTTAACCTACATCGGCTTTGTTTGTATGGGTAAGTCACATCCATTGGAAAGCTGCTTTCAGCGTCTGCACAAGAAGGAAATGGGACAGAAGCAGAGCCCCAGAGGCCATCCTTAAGGCAGCAAAAAAGATAAAGGGAAGGCAACATTCCTTCTCAGATCTCCTGTTTATTAAAAATTGTGCCAAGTATCCAGGTTGGCAACCACTGTTAATCCAATGTGGTTGACAGCAAAGTCCTATAACACGTCAAGGATGTAGACCCTGGTAGTCCAAGGTTACAGAAGCTCATCAGAGGAGTCACTGGATGTGGTCCTTTGTGCTATGTAGATCCTCTATAAAATCTTCTACGAGTATTGCCCCGGCCTTCATCCTCTCTAGAGCACATTTCCATTTACTAGCCATTTCTATGCTAAGAGAATTCCTCCTTGTTCTGAGTCAAAATAGACGCCTAAAGCCTTCTTGCCTACTCCTGAGACCCCACCAAATCCTCTAAACTCCTAATGCCTACACCGCCCTCATCACCAAGCTTGCTCTTTTCCTTTCGGCCTATGGAACTCATTACCCCTGAACTCCCAATAGACTCTGTCACATTCACCAGTAAGTTCTGAAATATGAGAAGTCAAATTTCTTCTGCTTATAAATTTAATATTTGAAAATATAGGACACCTTTACATCTTTCTAGTCTATCTCATGTTTAAATTCCCAATTAAATGTGTGATTCCACACCCTCCACAAAAACACCAGGCATGGTGTTAAAAGCTAAATTTGGGCACATTAAGATTTTAAAGAGTTTATTTGAGCAGAGAGAACGTATGCGTTGGTCACCACTAAGCTGAAGCCCAGGGGCTCAAGTAATGGCAAGAAAATGAGGAAACTTTGATACGTGTCCTTGAAAGCTAGACCAAGAAGATAGCTGTGGTTGACTGGAGTGGAAGGCAATTCAGGGATGCTTAGGCAGTTTCTCAGTAGCAGGGCTCAAGTACTGTTTGTCTCTTTATACACTGAGCTTAGGTTTTGGTTTGCTTAATAGGTAGGAACCCAGGGAACAGGAACAAGTTCAGATTAATAGCCTATTAATTTTCTCAGGGGTATATGACAGGGGATGCTGAGCTTAAGCCTCATAACTTTGACTCTGTCCCAAGCTCAACCTCTGCCTCACTACCAGGCAACCTCAGGTGAGCTGTTTCCTTTTGCAGGCCTTGAATCCCTCATCTATAAAATGGAATCCCTAAGGACACTTGCTTCTTTTACCCTGTCATGATTATTTATGGAGGGCACTAGAAAAGTGCCTTCTAGACCATTGGGGCTCATCCAATGAAACACCAGCCAGCAGGGCTGATGCATGCATTCCTCTTAGTCCCGATTTTTGCATATTTCAACTCAAAAGAACCAAGCCATCACATGTTTACTACATTTTCTAAGAACAAATATCAAGTGATGTTTTTGCTCTTACTCTTTTGGCTTGTTATCCTTTTGGAGGGACCCACCACCCAGCTCCCAAGTAAATCATATATGGAGGCTTATTAGTTATAAATGTCAGGCCTTAGCTTGTTTCTAGACTTCTTTTCTTAAATTTTCACAATCACCTTTTCCTTCTGGGCTTTTATCTTTCTTACTTCTGTATTTTTTTTTACTTTACTTCCTGTTCCATGGCTTTCTAACCCCTGATGTTCTCCTCTCCTCTCTTGTTTCTCTGTTCTTCTTACTCTCTGGCTGCCAGCCCTGCCTATCCTTGCCCCTGCCTTGCTATTGGCCACCTGACTCTTTATTAAATCATCAGGTGTTTTAGATAAAGAATCACAGCTTCACAGAGTTAAACAAATGAAGCATAAGCAAAAGTCACACACCTTAAAATAATATTCCCCAACAAACAAACCTGTTTCTTATTTTTGTGTGCCTAGCACCCCAGCCAGGGTTTGGCTTGAGGAAGGGTTATGTTAAATGGTTCAGATGGTAACAAGAAGGGTGGGCTGTGGAGTGGCTTCAAAGGCTTTTTCATCATGTGGGCACATACCCATGAACCTAACTCCAGTTTGCCAATGCCCTGATAGTGATTGTGACAGCTCACTCTGATCTAGCTGGGTAACATGCAAGCCCCCTCACCACCACCACCTGATTGTACTATGAGCTGTAACATTTAGAATAGTGGGCTTGGTGTGTTGTACTGTATTGTATTGTGTTGTATTGTATTTTTAAGTAGGGTATTAGAGTGCCCAGGCTGATCTAAAACTCATGGCCCTTCACCCCCTGATTATTGAGATTATAATTCTGTACCCACTCTAGTAAGATCATGGGCTTTTATTTATGCCTTCAACAATCAATTTTGGGGACTGGGAAAATGGCTCAGTCAGTAAAGTGCCGCCACACAAGAATGAGGGCTTGAGTTCAGATCCCAACACTCGAATAAAAGCCAAGAACGGGCGTTCACACCTCTAACCCAGCACTGGAAAGGTGGAGATGAGTGGATCCATGAGCTCATTGGCCAGTCAATCTAGCCAAATCCATAAGCTTCAGGTTCTGTGAAGAATATTGTCTCCAAAAATAAGATGGAGAGCAGCTGAGCATGACATCAGACACTAATCTTTGACCTTGCACACACACACACATTCAAACATATACACACCCATGAACCATGCACGGTTTTTACTGAACCTCTGTCACTTGCAGATCTCTCTCTCATGCTCACTGCTAAAGCTCTTTGGACGTCAACCTTGAGGAGCTCTCAGCCCTCTTGTCCTTAGTGGGCTAGGCCAACAAAGAGAAAAACATCTAACTACCTCCTTTTCTCCGAGACTCACCTCACCTTTCCCACACAGAAGTGAAGACACCATCTTTCTGAAGGAAACAGGACTCTCTTCCAAATGTCAAAGTCCTTTACACTATTGGGCACACAGAGGAGCTCAGAAAGTATTATTGTAAGACATTTTTATTTATGTACTATTTATTGGAAATTCAGCTAATGATTTAGGCAATGTGTGTTCCCTCTACTGAAGCCATCATCTATATCCCCATCAAAATTATACCTTCCTACCACAAAGGAAACAAAAGTCCATCTCTCATGTTTTGTGTGATATGGATCTTAGCTTTGTAAATGGCATCATTTAAATACTTAGTTGTCTGGTAGCCTTTTGGAACAAAATGAATAAAGACTCTGTCTTTTGACCTGAACTCACACTGCTCTGCATTTGATACAGCTCTGACACATGTGGGACTTTAGAACTGTGGTAAATGAATTTTGGGTATCATTCAGCATTTCTTGATTCCAGTACATGTCCTTTGGTCCTTGGACTCTGCCATTTTATTCTTTTTTCCTTCATCATGCTCTTCTCTATACCATTTTAGTTTTGCTTGGTGTTTTTTTGTGTGTGTGTGTGTGTGTGTGTGTGTGTGTGTGTGTGTGTGTGTGTGTTTGTTTGTTTTTATCTAACACCCAGAAATGGGATGCCCTGGGACTGGAGTTACTACTGAAAGTTCAAGCTGTCAGGTAGGTACTGGGAATTAAACCTGGATCCTCTGGAAAAGCAGCCAGTGTTTTTAACCACTGAGTCATCGCTCCAGCTGCCTCTTTGCTCTTTATCCTTCATTGTGGAGCTGACCCTTTGAATCCCTGACATTTCTTCTCAAATGTACACCACTCATGTAAACCCAAGTTTCTACCCTGTTCCTCCTTCCCAGCCTAACCGTTGCCTGCATAGAGAAAGTTTCTTGAGAGGTGGTAATCCCTGCCCTGCCTCCCTTCTGGGATGGCACTTTAGGAATTCTGTGCCAGTCCAATCGCTAATGTGTCTGTGATTTCCCTGGCCCACAGGTGAAGAGGACCCGAGTGCAGAGGAAGACGAGGAAGTGCTGACTCTGTTGTATGACCCATGTCTCAACTGCTACTTTGACCCTCAGACTGGGAAATACTACGAGTTGGTGTAGCTCCCGCCCCCATGGCAGAAAGTAGCCACAGTAGATGGAACATGACAACAGCGTGACAACCACAGTGGGCACTCTGACCTGTGTGTTGTGCAGGTGGGCCCAAAGAGTCAAAAGGATTGGAGAGAAGTGCTTTGTGAATGACATTCAATGTTAAGAATGCCTGCATTCTCTTTGTAGCTGTGTGTGTGGTTTTGAAACTTGTGAAGGAATTAAATCAGACAACAGATTTTAGGTCCTGAATTTGCTTAGTTGTTCAGTCCCATCATCTAAGTCTCATTATGTTATATAAGCAAAATGAAGATTTTTCCAGTGTTAATCTGAAACAAATGATGGCTTGATACACTACATAAAGTGTATTCTTGTTTAAAAGATGTCTGAAACATTTTATAGCTTGTTTATATTAAAAAATAAAGTATAGTGGTCAAAAGACCACTTCCTTTTTTTCCTCCCTGTTGTCTTTACCAGATTATTCCTAGGCCACTTCCCATTCCTTTAGGCTCTTAGGAAATGTGAGCTAGCTGGATTTTTGTGATCATGTTTTTGGGTGTGAGAGCTGTACTGTCTTCTCAGTCCAGTGCCTTGAGCAAGCACTTGCAGAGATCACAGCACCATTAAGATTAGACTGCTCAGCACTGCACTTGCTTTTACTCCTCTTTTACCACTTACCTTTGAATTCTAATACTCAAGCTCTATGAATCCAGATGTAAAAAGGAGTTAGTTGCCATCTGAACACCCTTTCATACCTCGCTGCTTCTGTGACCTGTGCCTAGAGAGACTGAGTGGCTTTCTCTTGTCTTTAAGGCAACATCAGAGCAGCTCTGCTTGCATCCCAAGGCAAGAAGTGTACGTGTCCCGAATCTGGGTAGCTGGCCTTGAATCGTGTGCCAAGTATATTACAACTGAGCTGAGAAAGTTCTTATTCACAGGCATGTGTTGTTTTTATATAGAGGTTTTTTAATAAGAAAAGGTACTGATAGAAAGGAAAAATTACTGGTGTGTGGTTGGATTTAACAGCAGTGCTCTGATTTCATTTAATATTGCTTGATAGAGGAAATAAGAACTTTTTCCATAAGCAGATTGGGCTCCTGTCCAAAGGATCATACATTATTTAAAGCCATGTTTGTGCTTGGTAAGCTTTTAATCCTTTTTCTCAAATTATACCTTTGTTATGAATGTCTCTCAAATATCTTCATGTTTACAAAATGAAAATGAATAAAACGAGGTTTCGTGGAGCATGCAAAATTATAAAAGATTTAGAGTTGATTTGGGGGGATGTTTTATTGTATTTTTTGAGATGGGATCTCACTATGTAGCCCTCTGACTGGCTTGGAACTCTCTCTATGTAGACAAGGCTATCTCAGACTCACAGAGATCTACCCATCAGTGCCTCCAGAGTACTGAGATTGATGGCATGAGCCACCATACCCAGTAAATTGGAGTTATCTTGATTAAGAGCTTGAAGATTGAAATGGGGGTTAAAAGCCTTGCTCTTACTTCAAATAGTCTTGAAGCCATCCACAGAATAGACCATGTGGTTCAAAAGTTTTTTAGTTAGGATTTGCAGTTACATTAAAAACTTGAACTGCTTATTAGGGAGGAGTGTAAGGATGCAAGAGTGTCTCATATACCCCAAAACAGGTTGTTTCCAAGTTTCCAGGCAGATTTAAGATGAGACACCAAGAATAATGGAAAATTCTGCTGGGATCCTTTGTAAGAATAGACAGCCTTCAGCTCAGATTCAAAGACTGGCTGAACAAGCAAGCTCGAGATTAGGGTGGGAGTCTTAGCAGCTGCAGTGTGATCCCTGGAGCTGCAGCAACTGTCCATTCCTCATGACAGTTGGTTACCACAGTGGCAGTGGTATCTTTTCCTATCTCTGGTTTCTGCTTAAAGTTCAAGAAACCAATGAAGCAGGGTACCAGGGCAAAGTGAGGTCCTAAAAGCCTTATACAGTTAACATATGTGAAACCAAACTGGCAAAAGAAAACCTAGGAACACAATTGCAGCCCAGACTCTTTAAAAATGAGCAGGCACCTGACTATGCATGGTGGCATTCCAGGGTCTATGAAGTACCCTGGCTCATTATAATACCAAAATGCACACCCCTGAGTGGGGATTTAAGATGCCAGTGAGATATGTAACACATGAGCTTGGGCCAGATAGTCTGCACGAGGAGCCCAAGATGCCAAAACTCCCATGCTGTACAAATGGGCCAAAAACCTGCCTGGACTCTGCAGCAGACCCTTGCGCTGCTGCACTCTCTCTGTCCCAGCCTTCTTTCTCCCTGGAAGTGAATCGTTTTCTAACAAATCTTTCCTCCTGTTACAACTATGTCTGTTACAACTATGTCTCTTCTAACTATGTCTCTTCAGGGACATAAGAACCTTGAACCCCCCAGGAGTTGTCCTCAGACCTCTGATATCAACCAATGTCACTAGTAAGCCTGCTTGTCCATTTTCCACCAGGGCCCATGGGATGAGGGTAAGAGAGTCCCTAAGGAGAAAGGATGCTGTTAATGAATGGAGGGGGATCAGGCAGACAAAAACCAACCAAAGGTTATCTCTGCCTCTCCTCTGACTCTTCTTGCTCTCTGAAGCTCTCTCCTCATAACTCTTAATTACAAAGTCCTCAGGCCAGGACAATTCTCTCCCATAACCAACCATATAGAAATATTAGCTTTCATTTTCAATTCAGAAATTCGATTCAGGATGACAGCTGGTCAAGTTTGAGGCAGGACTTCTGTGGATGACGGAAGAAGGCTGTAGAAGCCCCTGTGAGCTGAGATACCACTCCAAAGGTGGCTACCACAGAGTCTAATTAACCAGTCTATACATTTGATTGTCTTTTTTTAAAGGGTAGCAGATGAACAGCTGGCTACAGAAGAATAGAAGATGTAAAAAAAAAATGCATTTCACACCACCACTTTTAAGCCAAAGTGGTGCATTCTGTTTGTTTGGAAACTCACTGGCTGGGCCTCACTGTTCCATTGCCTCCTGGAGCCTGGGGCAACTGGTGCCTGAGTTCTACATCCACAGAATCTGACTCGGTTGGTGCCAAGCACACCTGGACATTTTGAGTTTTTGAAACAGCAAATTTAATTTGCAGTACAGGTTGAGAGTCTTAAAACTGGTGGCATGCATGCCTGTGGGAACCATTCCATAGCATCTGCCATTTTCAAGGTCTTGATTTCTAATATGTGTCACATCTAGAACTGATGGCTGCAATGGACACTGAAAAACAAAATAGATGGGCTCAATATGGAGCCACACGTGAAGGTCCTTTGCTATCGTTCTGACGACTGTTTAGTTTCTCGTTTCCTTTAATCAGAATGAAACTTACAATAAGTTTTAGTCTTTAGTCTCTAAGTGATTATTGAATTACAGATCCCAATTAATAGGAATTATGAAAGAACAACTGTCAACAATGCATCATATCACACCAATGATTTAGTGTTCCTAGAAATGATGGGTGCTCTCTGCCTCCCACACCCCATCCCCAACAGCCCTTTCTTCCAGTCCTGTTAATCTGTTTTCCATTGAAGAAAAAGACTGCCATGCATATGCAGAGTTTGGCAAAATACTTTGCCATAGGGTATCTCTCTATCATTTAGATTAACTTCATTCAAATCAGTTGTCTCAAACATATTCTTGGTTTGGGTTTATTTTTAATATAAACAGTTAAGAAACAAGACTAGTGCTGTCACTGAGTACAGAACTCAAAGAACAATTAATTAAAAGAATTAGTTTTAAAATTGCTCTTTGGATTTAGTAAAGATCTAGCTGTTGGAGGTTTCTGAGCTGTTGTATTTAAAACTGAGCAATGACAGAATTCTAACACTTGTTTCTACTCGGGTTGTATGTCTCAGTCTTCTGTAATTGCTGGAATTGTGGAAGCTTGGCATCCGCTATGCACCTGTTTGTGTAGCAGCATCTCCGTTTCGTACATCATTCATTTTGCATTCCAGACAACCTGGTCATAGAATTCTGTTTTCTTTTTCCGTCTGGACTGGGCCTGCGAGCAGCCGACCTGCTCCGATCTGCTGGAGCTAACCGCTGCTTGGCTGGCCTCCGTGGCCCGGCACATGCCCCAGCCGAGATGGTGGGTCTGAACAGTGCCATCGCCGCAGGCGTGTGCGGTGCCCTCTTCTTCGGGTACTGCATCTACTTTGACCGCAAAAGGCGGAGTGACCCCAACTTCAAAAACGGGCTTCGAGAACGAAGAAAGAAACAGAAGCTTGCTAAGGAAAGAGCTGGGCTTTCCAAGTTACCTGATTTAAAAGATGCTGAAGCTGTTCAAAAATTCTTCCCTGAAGAGGTACAGCTTGGTGAAGAGTTATTAGCACAAGGTAAATATGAGAAGGGTGTAGACCACCTGACAAATGCAATTGCTGTGTGTGGACAGCCTCAGCAGCTGCCCCAAGACTCTCCCACCACCAGTGTTCCAGATGCTTCTGACCAAGCTTCCAACCATTAGTCAGAGAATTGTAAGCGCTCAGAGCTTGGCTGAAGATGATGTGGAATGAGCCAGATTTAAACACGATAAAATCTAGTTAAAAAATGATTTAACCATTAGCTTGGAAGCTAATGAGCTCTGGGGGAATAAGGGCAAATATGCTTGTCATGAACTGTCCTACACTGAAGTCTACCAAAGTGAATGTGGACTTTGATTAGATCCATTGTCTCTTCTATTTATTTTTTCCAGTGAAAAGTATTTTGATAGAACTTTTCATTTTATAAATACACTGAGTTAACCAAAAAATCATGTATTTCGTTTATTCTTAAGACATGCAGTTCAGATGTAAATACAGCAGAGTTATTACTTAGATAAAACCTCCCAGTGATGAAATTTTAAAAGATCGGCAGAGAGTATGAAGGATAGTTGAATAATGCCCATTTTTAAACACTAATACAGTTCACTGTAAAGCATAAAATTGGATAGAAACTTGTTTGTGAAAACTAAGCATTAAAATCTTGCGGATACCATTTAAAAAAAAAAGAATTCTGTTTTCTCTATTTCTCCTAGTAGATGGGTTGGGATACAGTCATCTAATTGGGCATAGCAAGAATAATCTAAAACTACTTCTTTAAACCTCAAACTTTACAATTCAGGTTGTAAAACTGCTTTCCCAAAGGCACTCAGTTGTAGAGGACAGAGTGTAATCCATGATTCCTCACTTCTGGGTTGGTTCTTCTCATAGAGATCCACCTGCCTCTGCCTCCCGAGTGCTAGGATTAAAGGCTTTCGCCACCACTGCCCGACCATCTCCTTCTCTTTCACTCTGCAGATCCCTTCCCTCAGTTATCAGAGGGGAAACTCAATAGGCTCGAAGCCTTTATATGTCAAGGATCAGCATTGTCCAATGTGCCTGCTAAGAAATAGAACTTCCATTCCAGACCAGTAAATGCAGTAGGAGTGAAGAAGAGGTACATGCTCAAAGCAGGGAGGCAC